CCCTGGCAAAAGTATCGCCTGAATAAATAAAATAATAATATTAAGGATGGACACCTATAGCTACTATGAATATAAAATGTATATACACAATTGTAAAATGCACGAACATTTACATATGAGCACTCTTATACGTATGTATACATATATATATATATATATATATATATATGTACGTGCATATGAACATATGCAAATTTAATAATGTAAGACTAAAACCTTCCGAGAAAATGAATAGACCCAGGTACATAAGTGTGCAAAATGACACTCGAAAAATAGAATCTAAATTCAAAAACTTTATTAAATAAAAATAAAAATTACAACAATGAATATAATGACAGCAACTTCTTACCATGCATAATATACATGCATCATTAAGTCAAAGGAAATAAAAACGTGAAAACACGAGAGAAATAGAGAAATAATATGTGTACTTACGAATAATACTGCACAAAAGAATATTATGCGTATAACTCTACGAGTCGAACAAGCGTGCAAGGCCAAGTCCAGCACGTCGCGTTATCTCCATTGGAATTTTTAAACATCCTCTCCCGACCTAAAGGCAGAGGGAAGATCTAAATTCGCGCTCGCATGAATGCAAACCAAATTAAGTACATCGACTTCTCTTTTTATAATTAAGCATTAACAAAGCATTTTCTATTAATATCACACTAATCTCTCTCCTTGTGACGATATTAAGTCGGATACTAGTAATTTTGATTTTAATGATATTATTTAGAGGGAGAGTTCGTTTGATATTTATACGATTTTGTTTTGTATTTCGATTATTAGTATCGCGATATTATTTAGTGCATAGCTATTATTCATTTGGTTTTATGATTTATAGGTTATACTGGGAGCAGTATATCGATGGTCAATGGAAAATAAAATATTATCGTCGTGAGGGGTTACATCTATATACCCAATATGTTGGAATTATTATCCCAGAGATGTATACGAGAGCGTTTTCACCCAAGTTTGGACGTCATTTTTTTGATGAATTAGTCGACTAGTGTGGTGATCTACTTGGTCATGGTATCATGATTATATTATTTTTATAATTCTATTGTAAAAGATCTCGAAGTTACAACACTTTTGTTTGGTAAATTTGATTGTTAGCATCATATTTATACTTCTAGTGAGTAGGGACTGTTATTTTAGAACTATATACGGGAGCATATTAGGACGTGTACTTATTTTGATTAATTAATCGATTAGTACGTTGATCTACTTGGTAATGGGATCACAATTATGCCCTTAGTATATCTCTATTGTAAAAGATATCGAAGTTACAAACATTTTAAATTTTTTGTTTTTGGGGTTGCCTTTAAAATTTTACTGCTAGAATAATCACCGGGGAAGCTACTAGAAGGTCGTCAGATTTTTATCGTTAATCTTTATTCGTTTAATGAATTATCCTAACAAAGTCTACGCCAAGTATTGGCTTTATTTTGTATTAATTGTTTTATTTCTTTTACAGGTTACCGAATGGGAGCGTACATGTATTTATATACGGGGAGGAAGAGGGTTGATGGATCAACATTTCTACGTCGAAAATTATAGGGGTTGTTTCAACGCATAATTTTATAAATATATATATATATAAACATATATATATATATATGTTTTTAGTTAAGACATCGGTGTTGTAAGGATTTTTGATTATATAAGTATTTTTAATGGTACTACTATAAGACGTACCTATTAATATTGTGTTATTATATTTTTAGCACGTTTTAATTATTATATTTTTAATTATTTAAAGGCGATTGTGTTGCTTTTATGATTATATAATATGCTTTGCCTGTCATGTCCTATGCATATTAATTATTTAATCAATTCCGTCAAGTAATTTATCAAGTCTGTCGCTAAAATTTAATTATTAAATTTTATCGTTAATATTTGATTCTTCCAATTATATTTTATTATTGATGTTTCATTAAAATTTTGAGATTCGTTAACTAATTAATTTTTCTTTTTCAGGTGCAGGACTACCGCGGCTTTACCTTTGAATGATATTTGGATTTGTCGATGTCGAGGTGGATGATTATTAAAAATCGCTCACATCGCGGGATTTTATATAGATCTTGATTGTTAGTATTAATTTCTTTTTAGAGGTAGTTAAGGAATACAAGGTTTAAAATTATATTATTAACTAACAAGAATGTGTATACGTATATTTATCAAAATTTTAATATTGGTTTGTATGTCTTAAGATATTAATTTTATAAACGGCATACACTAAGATTTTATAAACGTCGATACTTTTGCTTTATATAAATGAAATATTGAATTATCATTAATCATATAGTAATTTTAAATTTTGATTAATGCATTGAGATTTCGATTGTTCATATATCAAAATGATTTTATCTAATTTATTACAATTTGTCTAGGAATACTGTTGCTGGAAATATCTTTTATTAATTCTCATTGGTCAAAGCATTGATTTCTCAAGGGATTATTATTTTGTCTTAGTTTATTCGCGATATCCGTGTAGGGCAAAAATCGTCGTGTTTAATATATGTACATGTATGTGTATTAATTGTATTTTTATTATATATTTTTCCTACACGTTATTAGAGAATATATATATATATATATATTCATTGGGAAAGGGAAGCTTATAAATCATTTCATATTTATGGTTTGATAATCATGAAGAAATTACATAAGTAAGCGTAAATGTTTCCCTTTGTTTTATTATTGTATATATTTATAATGTTAACTTATTATTTCTTTTGTTAATTCTTATGCGTTAATTTTCATTGGTATTACAAGGGATTGCATATATTAATTATACGAATTTAGTTTTCTATAACATGGCGATTGACTATTATTGTTAGTAATTTGCTTTACGCGTATTTATTTATAATTAGGTTATGTAGTATATCCGTGAGTCCGATTTAAATATTATTAAAATTTATGTCCTTGGTTATTGGTAGGACATTTGTCATGAAATAATTTAATATTAATGTGCAGCGTTAAATTGTGAATTTTTATATTTTGATTATATTATCTTGGAGGGTCATTATCCTCTTCAATTATTTTATAAGAAATTGTATATAGACCTTTTATTAATTACGATTGTTCTTTTTCAGGTTTCTAGTGGTGAAGATCTACATTTAAGAGAGAGTTTACGTGGAAAAAAGAGAGAGATGTTCAAGCCCATGATTTATGCTACAAGATTCCAACGATATATATAAGCATAGACGTTCTTATTATTATTATATTTTATTTATTCTTTTGGTTCAACAAAATGTTTTATAAATTAATTTTATTTCATCGAGAAAAAAAAAACTCTTATTAATTTCTGGTTAGCACATACTATAATTATTTAATAAATTCTGTATGTCATAAAGAATAGTTGGGGGACTTTTGTTTATCCGACAGATCAAATAGAAACAGATACGGATTTTAATTTTATTTAATTTATTCTCTTGAATTTTAAGTCATTATATTTATAAATTTTGTTGATGATCAACAGGTACATTTTGTTGTTCCGTTTGGTGTATCTATGTGTATGTCTCATTTAATAATTAGGTTAGTAGGATCAATATAGCGATTTTATTTCAATATATGTAATAGAATTAATCATGATCAGATATATATATGTGGGTAGCGTATGTATATTTTGAGTAAAGTATAATTTGAGTGATATTTGAGTCTTATAGTTCTCCTAAATAGTAATGGAGATGTTAGACACAAAATTTCAGAAATATATGTATATATAAGAGGCGGTATTTATGCTTGTTTAAAAATGTAATCTCATTTCAACAAGTCTGTTGGTCACGGTATTAGAGTTTATTATTAAAAGTGTCATGTATAAGAGTTATAATTTTTCTTTTGAACGTATTGTACGTTTATTCTCGGTTATTTGTTCGTAATGTAATGAGTACGTATTTTTACCGAGTGGCTTTATATGAATATATATATATGTCACTATTGTAAAGACGATTTTATTTAGTTTTTGTGCAGAGTTTATTTTATTAATTATTTGTATTAAGCATTTTTGCTTGTAAATCAAGTCTTTGCGTCTCCTTTTATATGGTTAGGTCCTTAAGGTTATATTGTTAATAATTATTTAAAAGGGGCTTGTGGAGCAATTCTATTAATGTTAATCGTTGAGGGTTTTGATTCTTACTTTATAAGAGTGTTTCTTGTCTCTACTGGAAAATATGGGATTACTAGATTTGGCTTATATCGATGGGTTTTCCTTTACAGATTCTTAAAATTGGAGACCTATATACGAGTATACGCGTATGAAGGCGGAAAATATTCTAACTATTTGAAGAGTGCGGATTATATATACTTATCGGAAGGATAATTGATTTTACACTTCACGATACTTTAACTAGAACTTAAATCTATTCTAAGTAAGTATATATATTTTCTTTTTCTTTTCTTTCATATATTGTTTTTTTGTTATTTTCATCTATTGTGGTTTTTTTTTTTTGTTAACAAAATGAATCGTTATCGAATCTGTTTCATTACGATTGATTGTTTGAATAATGAAAGATATTTGTAAATATATATATATTCTAGATTTGAAATTCTTTACATTATTGTGGCTTTAAGATTTTCAATATTTTTAATTAAAGTTTATTCAATAAGTTTCCAATGATAACGGTTAGGTTCATTTTGTTAGATTTTGTCTATATATATATATATATATTTAAATATATTTGCTAATGCTGGTTTTACGGTTAGTTCCACTAGTATAACGAAATTTTATATAGAGTAATGACGATATGATAATATTATAACATTTTATTGATATTTTCTATAATTTTCAGGTATTCTGTAGCGACTTTCAATGAGTGTACTACACATATGCTGTCAGCGAGGGACAGATATATATATATAGACGTTATTATATAACAATAGTAGGTAAAGATTATGATATAGATATAGTTTTGGAATTTTAATATGCGATATAGTGTAGTATAAAGATTTTGAAAATTTTTCATTGCGGGACGTAACAGAGGATATATGTACTCGTGATGAAATTCGTACAGATACGTGATGATATTCGTACAGACATCTTGGATATGTCGAGTATGCACATACCCACGTAAATCGGTTTGTAAAATTTCACCTCGAGTTTACGCAATTCTACCGCAATTTTCCGCAGATTTTCCGAAAAGACGCTTCTGCTATGAAAATTCGGTTTCGCGATCATCGCTTCCGCGCCGAACCGACCGTCCCATTTTGTTAATATCCCATTTTGTTAATAATCCCATTTTGTTAATAATTTTACATCGACCCGATTACGCACATTTTCCATCGTTTTGCCAAATACCGCGTTGTTCATTAATTTATATAAATTTTTCTCGAAATCGTTTTTCGCGAGTGTTCTGAAACGTGTATTTAATTCTATGTAATTTTGAAGCCATGGAGATTGAGAAAACTATAAAATTCTATGTATTTTTGTCACACGAAGACCGTGACGCGTACACTGTTGTACGGTAGTGTATCACGTAACGCTTCTTATCGTACAACGTTGCGAGGAGCTTGTCTTGCCGCTTGCCGAGCGGCTTGTCGCGTGTCGGACAAAACGGTAGGTCGGTGTGCGTATCGTGAAGATGTTGCGAGTACTCGAGATCGACTCGAGGACATACCCCGTGGGCGAATCTAACGCTATAGATGATACGTCAAAATTCGACGCGTCGTCGACCCATCGAAAATCGGCGTAAGGCAACGATTGGCACATTGCCCATCCGTATAAATTATTAACGTCAAATTACATCAAGTACGACGATGGTTTCAATGGATCGTACGATTATCGCATATACTTGTTATTAGCGCGCGCGTATCTGTTGGAACATTGGCTCAGACCACCGCGTATACCGCGTTCGATAAACATGACCATGTCGATATCTGTAAGCAACTCGAACGTGATCTTTGTATGCTTTAACATGGCGTCCCACGTGTATCCGGGCAGAGTATAGTAATACGCGGGGTCGAGTCCGTAACTTTTTATGCAGCTATCGCAAAAATTTTCGAAAATATCGGCTAATAACAAGACGTCGATTTTGAGATACATGTCGCTATATTCGCCCAGCGTTCGAATGGAGAATCGCGTCCAGATGTTCTCGGCGTGCGCCTAATCGCTCTCGGATATAGTTTCACCGGTCAAGGAACTGTAAAACGATTCGCGCGGTGGTAAACGCGTATCTCGCAACCTATCTACCGAGTCGACGTATTCGTACGGAAAGACGCCTTTTCGCGTTAACAAATTGAAATTTTCCGCGGATAAATTTTGAAATTTCGATTTTAAAATTTTGAGTTTGTCTTTGTCTAAATAAGATGCCAATTTGTCGAGACTCGATGCAAGAAATTTGTACGAATCGATGAAACGTAATTTTACATTATTTTTCTAATCGCCTTCCTTAAGGTCGACATTTTTAATAAACGAAATATATTTCTCTTTCGTTATCGGAAGTAACTCGACGCCCCCTTCGAACGCGGTGGCTATTTCCTCGATAATAAAGTGTGAATCGTAACCGGATAAATTATGAAAAACTATCGGAATACAAAAAGATTCTTTATAATTTAAATTACAATTTGAATGCGCGGGGCCTCTGTACCGCCCGATCAAATGACAATGATCGCGAACGGTTTTTCGCATATGTGGCATTGAGTGGCGTTTTGAAATTTTTCACACTCTTCGGACGTTAAATTTACCATGGAGACATTGGTCGTTAAAATATTCTTAACGCGAATCGCTAAATTTTTAAGATCTTCAACGAACCACGCTATACAATCGGTGCTACGACGCGAATGATACGCCGATAAAGATTCGTCGTACGAACAATGCATATAATACGCTATACTAAATACCCGATGATGCTGGTACAATTTTTGTTGTTGTTGTTCTTCCTCCGTTTTGGTCAGAACGCATTCCAGGTCGGCATACACGACGAATGGAAGCCGCTCTTTCCTGTTGTAATTGTTGAACTCGAGCCACTTGTCCTTGTCGCTCGGCAACCGGATAGCGCAATCGTTCATTTCCCCGCAGTCGACCGTATGCGACTGCAACTTGTCATCTGAATTAAAATAATGCAGGCATCTGTAAAAGAAAATTTTTTTAATTTTGAACAATTTGTTATATAAATTATAATTATTTTATATTAATATATACATACCGATCGCAGATATATTTGTGATTCTTGTGTTTGCTCAGTTGCGAGCTCACGAGCCGGGATAAATTTTTTATCGACGCGAAATGTCCTACGTTGTTGCCGTCTTTCACGTATAGCAGATTCACATGCTTATCTCGCTTCTGCTCTGTCAGTCGTAGTGGAACAATGTTCTCGCTTTCAATGTACACGTTAATCGAGATACTGTTTGCGAGTTCAAATTTTTTAATTTGATTTAAAGTTACTGGAAACTCAATGTCCCGGAGATTCAGCACTGTCGCGTAAAGGCTCATCTACATAAGACGCAGAACGCAAAACGCAAGTCGCAGGTTGCAGAAAACGAACGCTTGTCGCAATATTTTTGCGTCTACTTAGTCTACATAGATACGCAGCGAGCTCTGTCTGAGCCAATGAAAGAACAGAATAACATAACCTTTCTTTCGAAGCAACGGCTTATTGAAAATTACAGAGAAATGTCATAAAATATAACATGAATACAAGAAAACGCAAATTATTATTGTTGAGTGCTAGTTTGTGTTATGTGTCTGCCGAGTTATTACGATTTATTAAATTAAATCGTTCGAGGAGAAGATGGTGGGTTCGACCCATTAATCGTTCACGTGATGATTTTGGTCATTTCAATATTCTCTTCTCTTATATGAAAGAAGAAAATCATGAAGAATTCTTCGAATTTACGAGGATAGTACCAAGCCAATTTAATAAGTTGTGTGATTTAGTGCGTCCTCTCCTTATGAAAACATCTATTCGCCCCAGTCTATCCGTTGAATTGCGTGTTGCCGTGACTTTATCGTAAGTGATGCATTAGTATTCCTTATTAATTATGTGTATTACAAGAGGAAGAGAAATTTCTTGAGACAAAGATTAAATTCCTATTTTATTTGACAGATATCTTGCTCATGGTTCTAGCCTGCGAACTCAAGCATAGGATTTTCGTATTGGACGTTCAACTATTTATAAAATAGTTCCTGAGGTTTGTGATGTTATTTGGCAAGCTCTTCAACCAACTTATTTACCAGCACTGAAAAAAAATCAATGGGAACGTGTAGCTAAGGAATACGAAGAGAAGTGGCAGTTTCCAAATTTACTTGGTGCTGTTGATGGCAAGCATATTCGAATTAAAGCACCCAACAACTCTAGATCCTTATATTTTAATTATAAGAAATATTTTAGCATAGTTCTTCTCGCTGCTTGTGATGCCAAATATCGTTTTACATGGGTAGATATTGGACAATATGGTGAGAAAATAATAAAATCATATTAATATTTAGTTAATCTTTTTTTTTATTTACTATAATTTTTCATATTTTATGTAAAGGTTCACTCAGTGATGGAGGCGTGTGGAATAATACAGATTTTGCTAAAGCTTTGGAAGAAGAATTGGTCGATATACCTCCTCCAAAAAATTTGCCAAATACAAATATTATAACACATTATACTTTTGTTGGCGATGAGGCGTTCCCCTTAAAGTTATACATGTTACGTCCCTATCCAAAAGATAATTTAACAGATGCGCAACGTATTTTTAACTACCGTCTGAGCCGTGCAAGGCGAGTGATTGAAAATACGTTTGGAATTTTAACAATAAGATGGCGAATTCTTCTAAGTACTATATGTCTCAATCCTGAAAATGCTATAGTTCTTGTTAAAGGTTTGATATGTTTACACAATTTCGTTATGATCACAGATGAAGAAAGTATGTCTAATGCGCGATTGTATTGTCCTCCTAATTTTGTGGACAATATAGATGAAGAAAATGGAGAATGGCGTAATATAAGAGGAGATAATGTTACTTTTACCGATATAACACGTTTAGGAAGCAACAATGCATCACGAAAAGCAATAGAACAACGTAATGTTTTAAAAGATTACTTCCTCTCACCTATTGGAGCAGCACAGGTACCATGGCAATATGATAGTGCTTTTAGAGGAAGAAATATTAATTTGCCAGAATAATATGAATCTTATAAAGTGTTATATTTTCTCTATGTATGGTTTTCATGTAATGTATACATACAATTAATGTCTTAATTAAAATGAAATATGTTAATAATAATTGAGGTTTGTTACATTTTATTTTAAGTTTAGATTGTAAACGTCACTATAAAAATAATTTTAAGTCGCTATAATAACTATTTTAAGTTTAGATTGTAAACGTCGCTATAAAAATAATTTTCGAAAAAATAAATGCAATTTCTTATTAATGTCAATTAGTTATTTATTTGCCCTTTATTTAGGAAAACTACAAAATTGGAATTAAAATTGAACATTATAATTTTGAACTTTTTATGTATTATTGCATTACATTTATTACGTATTAAATACATATAAATTACATAGTCACTATATTTTTAAACTTTCTATGTATTATTGCACATTTATCACATATTAAATACATATTAAATACATATTAAGGAAATTATATAGTCGTTATACATATATTAAAGAAAAATATTGTCCACTTTTCTTGATGTAAAAAAAAAATAAAATACTTTTATAACAATACTTTTAAAAACAAAATTATTTTATATATTTTGTATATTATCTATTTCAGATATTAACGGTCGCTTGCCTTTTCGATATATATCACTAACGCGCAGCACATCTATCATAAATGATAATTTAGAATCTTTAGGAATATATTATAATGCAACTTTGAACGTGTCTATCTCAGTTTCTTTTTCTTTGTTTTGACATAGCTCTGACATACAATTATTAGCTATGTTCGTAAAAGTATTAATATTATTTGTTAAATCCAATATATCGTTCTTCTTCTTTTTACGCATTATGTCGCTAGCAGGTACCTTGTTCTCGCGCTTCAATTTCCTGATACATGATAACGCACTAGGTTCAATATCACTTGTCACTAAAATTATAAAGAAAAGATACACAGATTTAATGTAGAGAAATTAATTATTTAAACTAAAATAATTGAGTGTAACTTATTAAACTAAAATAAATGGAAGAATTTGTTTATTTATACTTATTAACATTTTCTCCATTTGAAATAAATGGATAAATAATTGAACAACATTAAAGAATATGTTTTCTCTCACCTGAAGACTCAGTTATTGGTTCTTCGTTAATTGTAATATCTGAATCGCTGAGTATCATGTCATGTGTATATGTATTAATTGAATGAAGTGATTCGTCCACTATGTCTACATTTATAGGGACACTGCTTATCATTTCATCATTTTTGACTGTGCTCGTGCTCATCTCTTGTGTGATATATATTTTGTTTTCCTTTTCTTCATTACATGCAGATAAACACTGCATATTATATGATTTTGATGATGCCATATTTGAGTGAGTCCTAAAATAAAAAATTATTTATACAAAAAGTAACACAAACTTCAAATATAATAATCTATAATCATTTTTAATATAAAATTTATAATAATCTATCATCTATAATATCTAACATCTATAATAATCTATAATCATTTTAATATAAAATTCAATGAATACACACACACACACACACACACACACACACACACACACACACACACACACACACACACAGTAAAGAGACAAAGAGAAAAAAAACTAACTTTCTTGGCTCTATATGATCTATTAAGAAGAGTAGATCTGAATAATAATCCCATGTAGGTTTATATGAATCTGTAATACCAGCACCAGACTTGGGTTGCGTACTGTTCATTTTCCTTCTTTCTTTACAAAAAATATCTCTCAGTGATTTAAATTTTCTTGCTACTTCTTCTCCTAAATAAAAAAGCGCAATATGAAATAAATTATTGTTGAAATTAAGATCAGAGGTTAATAACCAAACTAAATTCTATCAATGTCTCTGCAGTTTTCACCTTAGAATAAAATAAATTAAAATTATTACAATAAATATTCATTATAAAATCATATAAATTTACTTACCAGGATAAGGAGGACGAAAAGTTTTACCCAACTCTGCCCATGCTAAGTTTTTTTACTCTTGATTTTTGTATAATTTGGCACTTTTAGCATACAAACCGGGATTTTTTTTTACTTTATAAATTAATGCCCGCGTTGCTGCGGAATCCCAATTATGTCATTTTGATTATTTTTGAAATAATCCTAATGACAGAAATATTTAACCTTCTCGTCTCGTCGAGATCGTACAAAGCACATCATATGAAAACAATGGAGAGTTGCGTGATACCAAAATAACAAGTCCTAATTGGCTGGTCGCTTCGACGCAGAACGCGAAAGTTGAGGTTCGCCCAACTTTTGTGCGTCCTGCGTATTGAAGCTTGCGACTGTAAACTACAGGAAATACGTCACACTGTGTCTAATCTTGCGACCTGCGACCCGCGTTCTGCGTCCTATGTAGATGAGCCTTAATGCGGGTACGATGATTCTCGTTCCGCGTTCCTTTCTGCGGGGTATAGAGCGGCGACCACTGCCCACGCGAAACACGCATTGTCTTTAGACTGTACGTTAACCACCGCTCTTTTTATCATAATCTCCCGCGACAATTTAATGTGGCATCCCGCGCGCATTGGATTATATTTATTTACATTAACAGTCAAATTCTGTATTCGCGACAATGCCCAGCCGCTATCGCGTTCCTGAAACTCTTCCAGAGACGCTAAAGTGGGCTCGATAACGCGGCGCTCAAACCACTCGCGTAAATCCGATGTGCGAAAGAGTTCACAGTTTCTCGTATTCACACTTTTATTCGAGTGCTTATCACCCGACACAAATTCACAATTAAACACAGTGTTCACTTTTACGCTGTTGTGTCTTTTTAGAACGTCTTGCACTTGCTCGAGCTCGATGTCTTCGGCATCCTTGAGAAATTGGCGCGGTTCGATATAGTTGACGTTAATCATGGCACCGGTCAGAATACGGCTGTCGAACGCGGTATCGATCTCTCGCCAAACGAGTCTTTCCGCGTTATTGTCACCGCTGTAATCACCACCACTGGGAATAAACCGTCTCTGCAATCGAGTCTTTGCACCTTCTAGTCGCGCGATTTTAGCCACCAGAGATTGTCTATTTCCGATCGAGAACCGCGGACGCTTGACACGACTGCGTTCTTCGAGCTCTTGGATCAATTCCTCGCAACGCTGCAGCCACGCGAAATACTCGCCCAAGATGGCAATTCGGCGAGATCCCTCCATGAGATCGCGTTCGGTCTGCTCGATGTTTTCCATTTTCCTGTTTTTTTTTCACACTTTTAAAGCACTACACATCACAGTTTTCTACGGATGACTTTTGCACACGATACCGTTAAACAATACCGTTCTCTATCTTGAACGTGAAATCGTGCATAAATCTTTCTAACGGAACACCGCTATACTTTTTTTTTACAACCGACGTGTCGATGGGCGTTCAAATCACATACTATGATGATTTGATGCACTTCAATCCTTCTTATATATGAAGGAGGAAACAAAGGTGCAAAGCTGCCGAACATCGGCGCTCATTCGCGTCGCAATATCGTCTCTTCCGAGAAAAAATTACGGAGGACGATTCTGGGAGGTGCCATTTGTTTATATTGTTTATAAATTCGCATGATGTATAATTCAATGAGAGAGAGATAAGGATACGTCGAACGGAAAAAAAATCTAGAATTACTTATATCGGGGGTGAGGGGTGTACCGCGAAAGGGTGCAAAGCAGCCGAACATCGGCGCTCGTACGCGTTGCAATTCTTCCGAGAAAAAATTACGGAGGACGATTCTGGGAGGTGTCATTTGTTTATATTGTTTATAAATTCTCATGCTGCGTAATTCAATGAGAGAGAGATAAGGATACATCGAGCGGAAAAAAAATCTAGAATTATGTATATCGGGGGTGAGGGATGTACCGCGAAAGCGCAAAGCAGCCGAACATCGGCGCTGATATACGAGCGGTGGAAGCAAGGGTGCAAAGCAACCGAACATCGATGCTGATATACATTGCATTCCTTCCGAGAAAAAACATGCGAGATGATTCTAAGGTTTTTATATTGTTTATCAACCGGGCATGTAATACAATATCGCTTATACTTTCGATAAACATATGGGACAGCGCATACTTTTTTTTATGAGGTGTTTACGGCGATATGGCGATAATGCCTCATCTCTATTATACGATTTCGTACCGAGATCTCGCTGCCTTGTCACAAAGAGTTTGGCAGTGCGCGAATCAAGAAGTCGAAAGTGCAGAATCAAAAGTAAAGAATCAGTCGTCAAAAGTGAAGAAGTGAATTTTTTTCATTATTCTTGTGTATTTTATAAAATGGCCGAAGAAAATATTATTATAATTAATGATGAATATTATTATAATTAATGATGACGATGATGATGATCATCGAAAATAATAATGTGATGATTATCGAAAATAATAATGTAATGAATGTTGATGAAGATGACGAAGATGACGAAGATGACGCTGATATCGAAGTAGAACCCTTAGAATCTGGCGGACAGCGATTACGAAAGTGTTAATAGTGACGACAGTGATGAACAATTACAAATGAAAGAACGAAATTTAGACTTACCAGAAATATTGACAATGAACGATACAATAAAAATATGCTGCATATCATTCTATTATGTTGAATATGGACAGAAATGTTGTGCGGAATGCTTCCTGAGACTATCGTTTTTATTTCTAGAAACTAGTGCTGTGGGAAAATCGCTGCACAAATTATCAACATTTAACTAATATATCTTGCAAAGAGTGCAGGAAATCATTGAATCAAATATTACCGTGCGACATGTGCCCCATGTGCACAAATTAAAACATTGTAAGTACTATTTTTTAAATTTTAACTCTCTCTAACTACGCTTGTATTAATTCAATATCTTTTTTCTGTTACAGGAGCCGCCTCCTCCTGAATCGGCGCACTTCCCCTCCCCCAATTATATATTTTATATTTTATTATATCATTATATTTTATATTTTTATATTTTTATATTTTTATATTTTACATTTTATTTCAATTTTAAGCACAAACACACACACACA